AAAAAAAAAAAAAAAAAAAAAAAAAAGAGAAGAAAAATTTTGGTAAATCAAAGGAGAAGACGAAAAGATAACTCAAAGAAACGTTTCCATAAAAAAGTAGCTAGAGATGAGGAAGAAACCAGTAGGTTTAAATTGAAAAAGTTGATTGAAATCCACCCAAAATAGCAGCAACAGCAACAGCAATGGTAATAACAGTTATGCTGCAAACAAGTGTTGCTGATAAGAATGGGTATGTTTATCAACCAGCAGCATTCATTCTCTGTCATCCACTATGACCTTTCAAACCATTTTCTTACTTTTTTTTCCTTTTTTTGACACTTTATTATAAAAACAATTGAAGAACTGTTCACAGAAATCAGGTGTACCAACCGAATGAATTCCTGCAGTCACAATGGCAATCCTTAGCTCAACATCTTCAATTCATCATCAGTCTCCGCAGTTTATCTATCACACAGATGAAAAGGTGTTACTTAACAAACAAAAGTGTTTAAAAAGAAAAAACATACACACAAACAAACTTTGAAAAGAGTCATTGTAAGTGAAAGCAATAAAAAAAATAAAAAAAAGTAAGGCTGATAAAAACATCTAAAAAAATTTTTACCACTTCATTGTTTTCCAGATTTATCGCCGCCACAAGTGGCGGTACCGATTGTACAAATATACATATATAGTCAAAAAGCGAAATCAATGGAGGAAAAAACTCGAGAAAGGTGTAGAAAAACTTGTTTAACAAAAGCTAAAAAGAAAAAACAGAGTAAAACTGTGTAAGAATCTGTGTAAGAAAGACATCAATTTAGCCAGATAAAATATGTATGCAAAAGTTGAAGAGATTTTTTCCTGAATACCTGTAACAGTAGCGGAAGCACAGCCAACACTTTTCCCTCGTTATTTCCTTTACTTTCACTTCCGCTTATTGTTATTGTTGTTGTTATTGTTATTGTTGTTGTTATTATTATTGTTATTGTTATTAGATTCTTAGTATTACGATTATTATTATTATTACTATTATTAGTGTATTATTATTATTATTATTATTATTATTATTATTATTATTGTTATTATTATTATTATTATTGTTATTTTCTTTATTTTTTTCAAATTTTTTTGATGTTTCCTTCAGCAGATAACAAATAATTGAAATTCTTTTTCGCCGGTTTTAGTACCCTTTTAAAAATTATGATTCGGACAACGAGTTAAACAAATATTATAAAAAGCAGAAACAAAAAAAAGACAGAAGTAAGTTTAATGAAAATACAATTTGTTGACTGCTTAGCGAAAGAAAAAGAAGACAAAGATGAAGCAATAGAAGAATCTTAGCATTACAGGTGACTGTTTATGTGTTGAAAAAGCAATCAGAATGCTTAAGATGATGACGATGACGATGACGACTATGCTTTATCAAATCCGATCGCAACTTTCCAAAACTCTTGACCAAATAAAATTTTTTGGCTAATAAAAAAACTAGTTTTTTATTTTCCACTCATAATTTATTTCTTTTTTTTTTTTCTTTCTTTAGTTAGCTGTTATATAACTTTTTCAAAAGGTCTAATAAATTTTTTTTTCAACTTACTTTTCCTTCCTGTTT